AAAACCGTATCCTCTTTTTATTAGCTAGCACTGAGTTGAAGGAATTTGGCAGCCTGGTCAAGTGACTTATCTGCCCCCTTACCCAAGTCTTCTTAATAACAGGAGGACTATTAATCTCTAGATTAATATAGGTTTATTGTAATAAAGTTTCTACTTCGATATTATATTAATAAAAAAAAAAAAAAAAAAAAAGTTACTTAAACCTTGATCTAAATTTAGAATAGTTGTGTAGAAAAAAGATGAAAACCTCGATGAGAAAGATTATACTTACTTGTTCATCATATCACCTTTAAACAAACTTCTTGGAGTATTACTAAGCTATATCACATTATATAGGTAAATATTTAACAATAATACATTTACTAGCACTCTTTTTGAAAATAATTTTACACAATATCAAATAATATAGGCCTGAGCATCCAACCTACTGTTCATATAAACGTAAAAGCCATTTTTTCGAACCTTCAATTAATTATAGGAAATATCTAATGATCAAATTTTTGATTAGTTTTCTCTTGAAAACAGACAATCGAGTGATATTTCAAAAACAACAGACGAAATAAAAGATACCATTATTATCAATAATCAAAATCCAAAAACTTATCGTCGATATTCTTGAAATGGCTCTACCACTGTTATTATAAAGAATTTGAAAGAACCTGGAAAGTATGAAAAAATTGTCATTATATCGAAAAAAAAGTATCGTATGATATTGCTATATCCTACAGAATTGATAAAGCCTGGCCTACTTAATTCATTCTAGTGCTCTGCAAAATCAAATCAAAATTTGAATTTGAATCAAATATTTGATCAAATTTTTAAAAAATTTTGATCAAATATTTGATTCAAATTCAAATTTTGATTCGTTCTTTGGAGTACTAATCAATAATTTTGTTTTATATAATAAATGAATCATGAAATTATTCATAAAATTAAAATTTGATTTAACACAGTATATATATATATATAGTTGTTTTGCCAAATAACTAATTACTTTTTACATAACTCCAGGCAAAATCAAATTATAAATTCATGCAAAATTCGGGTTGTATAACTTACTGACTTTCATTTATAATTGAGAAATATTGATCATGTCAAAATATAAATCCAATGAAAACTCATTTTTCAAAAAATTGCAAAAAAGGGCTGTTTTAATATGTAACACCTAGAGTGTCCAGAATTCTACAGTGCTCTAAAAATATCTTTTTGTATTGTATTAGTTTTTAAAAAGTGATTAAAGTCATATTTTTTTTACAGAGACAATACAAAAAAATATTTTTAGAGTGAGCAGAATTATGCACCGCAGAATTCTAGACACCCTAGCCTTTTTGGTTTAAATATGCTAAATTCTCTAATTGGTTGGCGAATAATGATCAAAACAATGACAATTCAAAGATCTTACGAACCCATGGGTCTGTTTAGTCATGTGATTTTATACTGTAATAAAAAGTTCTATATCTGTTTGCATCCATTTTTTTAGAATTTTTAAGGTTTGCTTATATTATAAGTAATCATATCTTCAAAATTATTTCAGATAAGAATGATTATAATTTAAAGATTAAAACTTTGAATAATAAAAGAAAGTATAAATCTATCACTTAGCACTAATACCATCTTTTGGAATTAAAGAAAATAAATTATTATTTATTTTGCTTTTCTGTATAATAATAATGTTAATAACATATGACAAGAAAGGACTTCAATATATAAAAAAATATACAGAGTGTAAATAAATTTTTTATTTTTATTTTTTATTTCTTTGATGATATCAAGATAAACTTTAGCCTTACTTAAAGCTTCTGAAATAATTACAAGAGATCTGTCATTATTATTTTCACACTTATAAATCTCATCTAGTGGTGTAGTAATTATATTAGTAATTATATTAGATCTGTCATCATTATATTCATACTTTTCATAAATCTTGGCTTGTGGTGTAAGTACTTGGCAACAAACTTTGAGATCTGCTTTATAAAGAATTCTTACTGCCCTACAAAATTTCTTCCTAATTTTTTTAAAACTATCATAACTCACTCCATTTCCAAGATTCCTTTCTATATTAAAAGGTTCTTCTATACATAATTTCCAACGCATCCAATTCTTTTTGTATTTATTAAGGCACCTTCCTAGCCGAAGAGAAATGACATAATTTTCATATTCAAAGTCATATGCAAACCTAATATAAATTACAGTATGATATATTTTATTAATTTAAATAAATAATTATAATTTAGAATTTTATTTTTCATATATTAAACTGACTAAAATCAGTTTTGATATATAAAAAATAAACCAGATTTTCAAACTCTAGTCTAGTATAATTTACCATTTAAAAAAAGCAAATAATAATCCACCAATCAATTCATTATTTTTGTAACCAACTTTCAACAATTCAATATCTTCATTTTTTCTATTAACCTTTAATACTGGTAAAATTGAAGAAAATTCAAAACCATACATGTCCAAATATATAATGATAGAGTTCTGCAAGCTACATTAAAAGATTTGAAAACTTTAAATAATTGTTAAAAACAATAGAATACCAGCATTGTTTAATTTTCAAATTCATACCCAATGTTTTATTGTCATTACTAATGGACGAGCTCTTGAATCTAACTTTACATATGACTTTATTACCTTGTATTAAGTAAGGCCTGAGTATTATTAACATTGATGTCACATGCTAAATTACTGTAAATATTTTGTAATTAGAAATTATAAAGTGAAGAAATAAAGAATTAGAAAAGTTTCAAATGTAAGATCAACTTAGTTGAGTTTGTATAAATTATTTTTTGAAATGCAAATCTTTTCGATAGATTCATTTATTTTTTAAATCACAATATGAGCAAGGAAGGATTATTCTTTTTTGAGAACAGCATTATGTAATAAAGTTTAGTTTTATAATACCTAAAAAATAATTGTCGCATGATATAGTTGGAGTGCAAAACAATATTTAGTAGCCTTTGTACAAAAGTTTTTAAAAAAACCTTTAAAGAAAATTTGACGACCTACAACAGAGGTCAACAGAGGTGAGTTGAATTGAAAATCATAAATTAGGGGTCAAATTAAGAAGATCGGTTCTACTTAAGCGTTATCATGATCATTATTTAATTAATTGATTGTGAGAAAGCCCCAAATCTACTATTAAAAATTAGAGAAATCCTCATTTTAGAGTTTCTGAGAATAAGTCAATTTAATTACAATCAATTGAGTTTACTCGTTAGAGTGTTAAGTCAATTTAAATTACAATCAATAAGTTTACTCATTAGAGTGATTCATAATTTAATGTTTAGTTTTTCGAAATCAATTTTGTTGATTATTTCTTTTAATTCTCTAATTAATTAATGTAATTCAATTAATATAATTAAATTATAAAAACTGATATTTTATATATAAGGTGAGAATTAAGTAGTTATTAGTGACATTTGTACTAAATTCAATAATTAATTCCATTGGATATCCATTTGGAATTAACATCAAAATGGACAGATATAAAACTAATAGGTATATTAAAGTTTTCAAAAAGATTGCAACTCTAAGCATAAAAAAACAACCAAAAAATAGTTCTTTTAAAAAAAACAAGGTTTAATGAATATATTATATTAATTTTTACCTAATTTATTTTATTAATATTTTACGATCATTTTCCTATGAACTATTGGGGTCACTATTGCCCCACTTGTCACAGATCTGGATTTTGCAAAAAGCATTAGAAAAAATGTAATAAATGTCAATTTACTATAAATATAGGATCAAAAGAATGTTATAGATATAAAAAGATAATGGAATCACAGAAAGCGTCAAAAAAGAAAAAAAACATCAATAAATGTCATTAATAAAGTTTATAATATGAAAAATAGTATAGAATGAAAATTTTTACGTATCATTACAAAATCTGTATAACTCGGACTTTTGACTGAATGGTTTATTAAATCACTTTTTGTTTATATAAAAAAATTACCAATAATAAATTCAAGTTAAAATATTTCTAAATTAATACTAAATGACTATAAATTATTCTGCTACAGAACTTGCAAATCATTGGAAGTGATCTGCTGCATGCATTCAAAAAATTTAATTGGACATGTTCAAATTATATAAAGATAACTTTATTATCGCATCAAATGTTGAGTTATTCTTCAGTTCTTAGGTAGGATTCAAATTTCATCTCATAATTACAAAAATAGTCTTTATACCTTTCTAACTGAAATTTTAAGATACATTTAATGTTTCTAATTTGACAAGGGTCAATTATTTCTTTCTCACTGTCTTTTTGTTTTTCTACTTTGTAATTTTTTGATCGAACTATTTCTATATACCTTAGATATTTGGCTTTTTCAACAAATTTTCTTAAATTTGGAAGTAAATCAAACTTAATATTAAAAGGTAATATAAGAACCTCTAACTTCACTCTTTCTACATTGAAATCTTTTTAAAAAAAATCAAGTTTTCATAGCTATAATCATAAATATTAAGTAAGTTTAGAATTTTTAAAGAGTTAGGCAAATAACAAACTAAGGCTTGCAAATAATCTTGATTGCTATAAGGAAGATCATAATAAGAAAATTCTCCTAGTTGTAGTTGGCAAAGGTTTTTAAATATTTTAAGTGTAGAAGAGAATATAATATTGTCAGTTATATAACATAAACTAGTTATATTTGGATAATTTTGACTAAGCAACAAAATAAATTCCTCTTTTACTTCATTATTTAATTCCCTCTCTTTTATTTTAAAAAATTTTAATAATTTACACTTTGTTTTTAGAACAATTTTGTTTAATTCTATTTCATTATCTTCTAATTCCAGGCTTTGAAGATCATGAAAATTATTTTTGCCTTCTCCAAAAGGATTTTCAAAAGAATTATTTATTGATAAAATCTCCAAGTTTGGTGCAATATTTGTAAGATTAACTTTGTCAAACTTGATTCTGTGTAAAATTAATTTTCTTAAGCTTTGTGATCTTGTTTGCAACATTTTTTGTCATAACAAAGATGTACTACTAGAAGTGCTAAAATATTTCAGTTCAAGTTCATTGAGTTCATTTTGAACATTAATTAAATTTAATAATTGTTCTTGGCAATTTGGCAGTATATCTTCATTATAAGCCTTAATACGAATGATATGAATTCTTTTGTTCCTTATAGAAATTAAATTAATATAATTATATATATCCGTTAAATCAACAAATCTAAATTCGCATTCTCTTAGTTCCGAAGAATAAAACCATGAGTTAGAAATTAAAGGAAATGATGAGCTATCCTCAGCTACTAAAATGTTGAAGTTCTTGATTCTCTTACATCTTTGAAACAACATGCTTTGGATAGACAAAAAGGTTGTTGTTTCTAAACTAGGCTTGGATATATCCTGAGTATATTGATACCAAATTGAGGTGCCAAATTTTATCTTGACACTAGAATAAGTCTCTAGAAAATTAGCATATTTAAATAAAGTTTTTTGAAAAATCTGTATACATAATAGATCAACCTAATACTCGCTTGAAGCTTTTCATTTTCATCAAGATAAGTGAGAAAGATAGATATAACATTTATCGAACCTTTAGACATATTATTATAGAAAGGATTAGCCCATAACAGAGGCACAGTAATGCGACAAAATAAGCGATTAACTAAGAGACAGTTATATAAGGTTTGGTGGTCATTTTCAAGGTTTTTGATTATTTCTAAATAACAATCGTTTGTTAATTTCATTTAATATATATTTTAATAAGTAATATAGGAAATGCAATGGTTTATATACAATATGACAGCAAGTTTATCAATAATTAAATTTAATAATATGAATTAAATTGAATAAATAAGTATAATTGAATAATCGAATACTTGTAAGAATAAACTATATTTAACTATTATAAATTTCTTTTAATAAATTGATGTTTGTTTAGCTACATAGCATTTACTTGGTCAATAGTTGGTAAGTATTGTAATTATTTATGATATTCGAATTTTGAAAATAATATTAATATCTCAAAAAAATATTTTTTAGCAAAATTAGTTTAATAATTGCAATGTTATTAGATAAAATGCTTCGAATATAAAATATAAAATAAATTTAAATCTTTTATCGTGACTAAGAGTTTCCAAAGTTTCTTACTCAGTCTTCTTTCTTATCAAAATTTTCATGAATCGTAAGAGGAGGTATTATTAAATTTTGAAATATTTTAATTTTAATAATATACTTGCATAAAAAATTTTTAAGAGGCATATCTTCATAATATTCAAAAATATCCAAAAAGGAAAATTCATTAAGAAAACAATTAGAGTAAATCATCCATGAAAAAATATGAGGATTATAACCACAAGAATGAACAAGGTCTTTAACAAAAGAACCGATAGTAGAATAGTTGTTATTGAAAAAAGATTTAAGATAACGAGCAAGAGGGAGAGAAATTTTAATAACTTTACAATCCAAACAAATTTGAAAGTGACAATAATCGAATATAATTATATCAGACATGGTGAAAATAAGAAAAAATAATTCTTCAAGGAAACAGTGAAACTAATTATCTAGTTTGGATCGTCTCCATTACCTAATTACTACATCTCGTAAATTCTACCCTAAATTTTAAATATGTGCCATTTTAGTTGCTTATTAAATTTGATAAGAATTAAGATTTACTTTGCAGCAATAAACTTTGAGTTAAACGTGAATTAAAATAGTTTAAAGATGAAATTCATATTTTTTTTTTTGTTTTTTAATTTTGGATCACAATAAAATTATTAGAAATCTTTGGTTGCTCAATGATTTTTAGTTTTTTTCTTTATTATATAAACATAATGTTGGGGTGTCCAGTTGGGGTATTTCATATATTAAATAATCAAGTCTATATAAGGTTTATAATAAAAATTACTAGTACAGATTTTTACATATTATCTATACCTATGAAGATCCTAATATACCCGGCAATATTTTTTTAACCGAATCTTCAAAGATTCAGCATTAAAACTATTACAGAAATTTACAATGAAGCTTTACCTATAATATGATAAGAGACTCTTTTACATAATTATGATTTTAAATTTTTTGTTATCAAAGCCAATTTTTAATATTTATGATTAAAACATTTAACGATTATAAAAGGTAATTTTAAAATAGTCTAGCATTAAAACTATTAATAATAACTTTTGATAAAAGTTTATATATAATATGATTAAAAACCTCTTCACACAATTACAATTTTAAAATTTTGATTATCAAGGCCAATTCATAACAAATGCTTTCTATTACCATCATGTTCTAATTTATAATTAATTGCTAATTGTTTTACTTGTTCGCTAGATCTTTCTTTAGTAATACAAAATCATTTTGATTTATGTTTTTTATTTTCTTCCTATTGAAAAACCCAAGCATTTTGTTTAGAATGAAATTAAATTCTATTATAACCTGATTTGTTATTTTTATGTAATTTTTCGTTTAAATTGGTTTGTCTATATGTAGTTTTTCGTAAATTTTTTTCTCGATTATCTAATCTGTTTCGGTTGATATGGTCTGTTATTTTCTATTCAGGATTAATTAATTGGTGAAAACATTTTGTTGTTCTGTCTAAATGTGTTCTTGCATAAAATCTATAATTTTTTTTATGAACATGCCAAATATGATCTTTTACAAATTCATAATTTTTTAAATCTGTGATCATGATTTGATTTTGAGAAAGTTGTACTTGGAGATAGAATTTTTCATCTTTATCCTTCACAACTCGAATTTGGTTTTTAATTTTTTCTTTGTGTTTCTTTCCATCATACCAATCAGTCAGATAGACGAATTCTTCTTGGTTCATGTTTATTAAAAATTTAAAATTTATCAGATAAAATACAAAGATTTATATAAATCTAATAATTATAATTAATTATTAATATCTTATATATAGCAAAACAAAAGAAAAAATTCTTACTAATTGAATAAACAAAAATGATCAATTAATTAAAATTTTTAAATCATAGAACTTAACTATTGAATTACAGTAACTAATTTAACAGAAATTACTTAGTTTCTGTTAATTTAATTATTGTTGAATAAATAAAATTTTAATATTACAGTAAATATTCAATTCACTAAATTAACTGCATTCTGTTAACGTATTGTTAACAAGAATTGTGCCTCCAGAGTAGTGTTTGATATTTAGTGCTCTCATTGCCCACAATGTTCTCAAGAACATTTAAAAAATTTGAGAACGCTGCATTTAAAAAACATGTTCTCTTAAAAACAATCCGGACCTCAGTCAATTAGCAAAAATGCATACCAGATCTTAATGGAAACGATAATATTCCAAATGATAAAAGACGAAACTTAACCCTCAAAGAGACAAATATACATTTATTTCAGAAAAATGAATATTTTCTGATAGCTTGAGAAAAGTCGGGGCATGTTTTTTTAAAAAAATTTTTATAAGGTAGTTATTAGACAAAATTTAGAGATATAGTTATTAGGAGAAATCCAGATATTTTCGCATAAACGAAATGTGAAACCATGTTTCGTCTTTCGACAATTGAAATCTCAAATGACAGATGACGAAACTGACGAAAGGTGGGGAAACTGCAAAAGTGGCCCATCCAGTGTATCATGTTTATGCGATATGACCTAGCAATTTTTTATGCCAATAATTTATCAGATTTGCCTGTTTAACCTTAATAATCTAACTTTACACTAGTATTAAACATCTCAAGAAAGGTCATGAAGCTCTGAATTTTTATCAATGGACTAATGTAATACTTTTCTGTATTAATAAAATTCTTTACTAATAAAATCGAACAAAGATAGGTCTTCACAAATAGAAAAATGTTAACGAAAATTAATATCAAAATTAATGCATAAAAATATAGAAAATGTTGTATTACTCTTGTACTATATAAAAACAAATTAGGGTAGCTGCGCGACGCGGTGGTGTCGCGCTAAAACCAGGAACGTACTAGATTGGTTTTGAAAATTATTATATTTTTATTTTAATTATTGCTGTTGATGTTGACTTGAGGTATTTTTTCTCATGAT